TTTTTTTATGCCAAAACTGTAAAAAGGAAGCAATGTCAGTCTATGGGACAATTTGTGATTGTTATTTGTGCTTCACAATAAAAATATTTAAAGAGGTCTCACTGTGATGGTGCTGAGGATCAAGTGTTTCCTCTTTAGCTCGCTGTTGTGCTTAATCACTTGTGGTATCGTCGTGTCAGGAACATATCAAGATCATAAATGCAAGACTGTGCTTATATTGCTTTGTTATCAGTGCAATGGCTCTGTAATGTTCTGTGCTTATTATGAACAGTGAATGGTTGGTGTTAACGAGCCTCACAGAAGATACATAAGAATCCAAGGGAAAGTATGGATATGGGACAAAAGATTAGGAGACAATATTAAACCAATGCCGATGTTTAAAAACAAAAAAAAAAGAGTAATGGCCTGCAGTAAAAAGGTTTCAACATCAATGTTTTTCGTAGTGAGTTTGTTTCAACCTGACACACTGAAATTTAAGAAAAAAGAAAACTTAATCCTCTTGATCATTGTGCTCTTCAAACTTAAAGGTCTCTGCCTTTTCTTACCCACAATACTCTTTAAGTGTCATGGTTGTGTAGATACACAGGATAGTACCACACAATGTTTTTTGCAAATTACCTGGCTGTTTCAATTAATTATTTAACTGTTGCCTTTTCCTTTATTATTTTTTCATTCATATTGTTTTCATAATTGCAACTTTCTATTCTTTATTTTGTACATTTTTTTTTTATTTGTACCTAAATAAATTTAACCGAAGTATCCAAAAAACAAAGCATGTGTTTTTGTTGTGCGTTTACTTTGCCTGCAAAGTCTGTAACGCTCGTCTATCTTGTGTAATATTCACATATGTCCAGTAGGGGGGGCGCGAAGACCATGGTTGACCATTTAAATTGCAGTAAGGTATTTTTTTCTTGTGTAATCACGTTTTATTTTTATACTCCAGTGTTAATCCAGTCTTTGCATGTATCCCCTGGAAAATGCGGGCGACTTTAATTGATTTTGTATTTATAATTCCGTTTTTAAAAAAAGTATTATAATCTTTTTAAATTGGTAATATTATGTATACTTTACTTTTTTATTTTTTTTTTCTCAGATGCTTATGTGTACCTTATAATTTCACCATACCATAAAACTGTAGCCATTACACACACACACACACACACACACACACACACAGTGTAACAACTGGAGAATATGTTTTTCACACACACACACACACACACACACACACACACACACACACACAGTGTAACAACTGGAGAATATGTTTTTCACTGAGTCATGACCAACCAACACTATGCTGAAGGATGTGTCTCTATATTTGGACATGATTTAACCATCATATATTCATCTATGGTTCAACCTGTAATAAAACTGGGGGAAAATCCGCTAACTAACCTATTATACTGTCAAAACTTCTGCTTCCAGCTAAAAGCAGAGAACTGAATATATCGTCCAGATTAAAAGAAAGTAGATTATTATAAAAACTCCTGGTCTTCTATATTTTACTAAATAGTTTTGTGGTAGAATTACATTTTAAAAGAAGAAAAGAAATACATCTTCATACATGTGTATTTGATCAAAGAAAAAAAGCGAGTCGGAAATACCGCCCCCTGTGGGCTACTGACTACATTCTTGCCCAATAATAACTCGCTTGTTGTGTGATTGATGTGTGAGTTGACCAATGAGAGAGGGGATTACGGCTCCTGGGCGGTAGTGGACACAGCTGATTTGCAACCCGCTGAAGAAACTGCAGAGAAGAAGGGAAAATGTCGCTGGCTTCGACGCGGACCGTTCTAGGATCAGTGTCCTTTTAGGAAAAACTAGAAGGCATTTCGGTGAGTGGGACTGCCGTCACTAGTTGCACCCAAGGTTAGGGCTTGTGAATTTGGTGTGTCCCGTCCAGAAACGCAAAGGTCCGCCTCAGTTTCGCCAGCTTTGTGTAACGTTTCAGGCTCGCCCCACAGAGAAACACAGTGGGAGCAAGGCAGCCATGATGAATGTTAGACACTTTAAATGCGGACGCGTTGATGAAATTGGCGTCTTTAGCTGGTAGCTTTAAAAGTCAAGCGCGGTTGCTACATCAAGTATCAGTTGTTTTTAACTTCTTCTAAACTTTCTGAAGTAAACTTTACTTTTTTATGTTACTTAAAAAAAAAAAAAACTTGTTTGCACATCAACGCTGGCCATCCGTGCGAGTGGGCGCGAGACTCAAACTTATTCATCTCGATTGTTCCTGCCTTTCAAAGCTCTTATGAGTTTAATTGTTTTACGTAATCTTGAACAGAATCATATTAGCTCTTTGAGCTAAAATACGGATGTTTTAATTTGACTCCTCTCACAAAGCAGCCGAGCTGTGACCTCTAACTTGCACCATCACTTGGCTGCTGTAAGGTGACGTTGTAAGGTGTAGCACGTGCTGATGATGCAGTCCTTTCAGTTGCTAAACTGTACGTGAAGCCACAGGTCTGAGATTTTTTACATTTTGTTTATCCTTTAATAATTTATTTTCCACATCTTCCACACTCAAGTTGATGGTTGGACGTAGGAGAGCATTGTTTTTTTTCTCTTATTGTCTTTTTTTCTCTGAATCATCTCCTTGTGTCCCAGATCTCTAGATTGACATATATACTCATTAGCCTCTGTATTATTAGGTCTAGTACCGGGTTGGAGCCCCTTTTCTCTTCAGAGCTGCCTTTATACTTCAAGCAGTTGCTCAGGTGTACCTAATGTAGTGGCTGGTGACTGTATGTGCATCTATAGCACTTTGGAAGTGGTATTGTGATTTTCCAGGGGCTCTAAAAATCTGATATTTTTATCACATTCAAAAATAACATAACCAGTATCACATGTAAGAAACTAAAACCAGGAAATTTGGAGGTCATTTGTATCTCCCGCACTCAGAATATTTCAATCATTAATCAATTTTCTAATACATGTCTTGAACAATTATTTGGCTTGATAGTTTTGATATAACCAGGTTATTTCCAACACTTTCCTAAAATACACTGACAAATGAAACTGTTTCTGTGAATCAGAAAAAAATTGGAAACATGTAAAAATGCAGTTCATCGAGTTGGTTTTTGTTTGTTTTATGACAATAGAAGTCTTCGTTTATTATGAACATTTCCTGCTTTTTGAATAATTCAAATGTCATTTGAATACATCTCACCTGTACATTTAACTCTGTGGACTGCAGCAAATGTACGTTATCCTATTTACTGACAGACTAATATGTCCTAATTTATCTTTTTCTTCTTATCTACAGAATGGCATTTCTGCTGTATTGTTGCCATGAGTGAATACAAGTGTCACACAGCAGGACAAAACAAGGGAAAAGTAAAAGTTTAGGTTTTACCTGAACGATAAGGGAGTCAGCTGGCATATGTTCCCGTTTTGTAAGGTCAGCTTTAACTATAACCATTTAAGCCCATAAGAGTATACTGTAACACTACATGGGCCTCTAGGGCAATCTGAACTGATAATTAAAGCCTCTTCTCCTTCTGCTGCAGTTAGCAAGGTAATATTTCAACAAAGACATGGACCCATCTGCCCGAATGGTGAGCCTGGATAACCAGGGGAACGTGGTTTTCACAGTTGTAAAGCCAGTTATGGGCATATTTCAGGTGTCTTCAGAGCAAAATGGCAGTGCTCCACAAGGGAGCATGGGTCTACAGGGTTTAGCTGAAAGCACATTAGTCCTCCCTCAGGCACAAGGTCAGCCTCCACTAGACCAGAACCAGATGGAAATGAACACCATACAGCCTCATATTCAGCCTCTGATGCAGGTTTCTGCCCCAGTCCAGACTGAGAATTTACCTGCGAATCAGGATCTCCCACAAAGCTCAAGCGAAAATACAGAGTCCGCTAGCCAGATCGCATTTGCTGAGGTTTCATCACTCCTGGATCCCAACATGAAAGGATCAAAAGCTCGTAAGTAGCCAGTTGTTTGAAATCACACTATCTGAATGTTTTTCAATCTTATGGCTCCAAGTAAAATACAGTGAAGTGAAAATTTTGCAAAGTAACGTAAAAAGAAAGTACACTGTCAGTTTTAGGTTTTGCATATCAGAACATTAAGTCCTTACCAGTTCTTAAAACAATGTAAATAATACAAATGAAAGATTGTG